ATTTAGCTGCACTACTTCATGCTAAAACTAAAACAGTAACTATTTGACCAATATTTTGAATATTCTGCATAGTTTTTCATGGTTTGATATGCTATAAACTGAAATATTAGACCTATTGTACAGATCTATTTTTAATTTTATTTCTCTGCTAGAGTGTTTTAAATTTAATGCTCTTTCACAAGGTTTAATGTTTGCCATTAGTTTATAACAATATGGACTTTCTACTCCCAATTGATTTTATTCCATGTTATATAGTAGCTCTGGTAAATCTTTCAGAAAAATTTTTAAAGAAGTTTTTAGTTAATATAGTCTTTTACCCTCTCTGTATTTAAAAATATCTTTTATAACAAAATTAAAACAGCAGTATGTGTAATTTTTGGTTTAAATTTATTTGCCCTTAAAGCTCCATACAGTCTGTTCTATTTTCTTCTGACATTTGCAGTTAGCTTCACTTTTGTCTCTTTACAGATAGCCTACTTTCTCTGTCTAAATAGTTGTTACACTTGATATCTTTAACTCTTTGCAAGAAGAAACTCTAGACATATCCTGGTGCTGATTTTAAATTTCAAAGATAAAAAATTCAAAGTAAAGTTTGACAAACTTTCTAACAATCTTTTCCTTACATTTTAAACTCAGTGTCTTTGCGAGATAAAGTCTATTAATGTGTAGAATTGGATGAATAAATGAAAGAAAAATTCAAAATCCAATTGAAAAGAATACTTGCTCATTTTTTCAGTTCATTCCAAAGTTCAATAGCAGTTAAATGAAAAGTAATTATAATATGCTATCTGTAAAAATTGGTATGTTTTATTGTTTATTTATTATACTCTATATCAACCAGCACATATTAAACCTGGCTTCACTCCTTGCTTCCATACATTGGGTGAGTACTGACCATCCCATCCCTTTGCCTTTTTGTACTTCTGTAGTGGGAAACTCACAAGGCTGAGCCCAGATGAGATGAGATGGTGGCTGTGAAACCTAAAGCACAATGTCCAGTGCTCAGTGTGCTCTTCACTATTTCTTCTTGAAACATATTGGTGTTCAAGAAGAGAAAGCAAAGGTGAATAAGACTTGACCAAGGCTTTGATGGACCTTGTAGAAGAAGGTCTTCTTCATAGTAGAAGACACAGAAAACTTCTTGCAATACTAAGACAAGTGATTAGGTTCTCTGGGAGATGTGCACAAAGTGCTACTGGGTAGTGGAGAGAAGACTGGTTCTGACCTCAAGAAGTCAAAAGATGTTTGATAATGAGAATGATTTAAGGGCAGAACTGAGTCTTCAAAATTTGCCTGTTAAACAAATTATAGTCAAATTGTCCAAGAGAGAAAGAGAGAGAGAGAGAGAGAGAGAGAGAGAGAGAGAGAGAGAGACAGAGAGAGAGAGAGAGAGAGAGAGAGAGAGAGACAGAGAGAGATTGTAAGAGCATGAGAGAGCCAAAAGCCATGAGACCTCCTCACAGCTTTAGAAATAGTAGTTCTCAAAATATCACTTATATGAGCAAGGCATGGGAATAAAACCTTTTGAATCCTTTGCTTTTATGACTTTGCCAATGGATGCCGAAGCTCTTCCCTGTTTGCAGCTGAAGCTAAAAGCTGCTTTCATTTCCTGTATACTTGCATCATCTCATTAGCCAGCTGAGCCTTTCCAGAGAGCTGTGCTGTAGAGATGCGGGTTGCTTGGTACACAGTGTTTTAGGGTGACCAGATCTGAGCCAGTCACTCCTTGACCCAAGGTATTGTACAGTGATGCTCTTAAAGGTCATGTCACTGAGTGACACACAAAAGCTAAGACATGCATTTAAAGGGTTGCTACAACAAATTACTAATTTAGTATTGTGCATTGAACCAAAGTGACTTTTAACTAGTACATTTGGGGTCTTTCTATGCCAAGGTTTCATGTTTATACAATAAGAATAATAAAATAATATGAATAGATGATTTTCTGGCAGGAAAGTTTGAAAAAGATTTGAAAGTTTTTATTTTTTTGGAGGGGAAAAGAGTTTATTGAGAGCTATATTCCAGACTTTGATTTGTTTTTCAAGATTTTAGAAAGGGTCTCACTTAGTCTGTAGCTGTCCCAGGCTTCATATATATATATGAAGCAAATAGGGACATACTTGAGTGGAGAAATAGTGGACAACAAAAAAAGAATTCGACATTTTATTTTCAGTAACA